AAAAAAAAAAAAAAAAAACCTTCATAAAGTACAGAATATACCACAAAGATTGGTAATGGCATTTGAAATGGCCAAAGCTATGCAAACCCCTTTTCCAGATCCTGACATGCCTTCCCCAAGCAACAATTTTGCAAACCTCTCCTTCATCGTTTCAATCTCTATACAAATCCCAGAAAGGAAAACGAAAAGGAAACAAAATTAAGCCCATTTTCATTAAAACTAACGACCAGAAAGCAAGAAAGGGGAAAAAGAGTATAACTGACCTGAAACCTTTGAACCCAATTTCTTAAACTTGGAATCCTCGTACTTGGTCTTGTCTTCCTCTCCATTGCCATCAGAAAGAACCGAGCTTTTGGACACTATAGCGCTCCTAATAGGCCATCCCAACAGAGGAGGCGAAGAGGAACCCATAGTCTTCACTTTCTCAGTGAAAGTCCTCGAACTCGACCCACTCGAACTGCTCTGTCTCGACTCAGTCCCATTACAGAATTCAAACCCATATCGTTTCTTCACCGAATTCTCCATTTCAAACAACCTTTTTGATTTGCCCTCAACAAAAAAGCCACAATGTTTCCGAGATCCCTTTAGAAATGAAACTTGGCTATGGCTGGAAATGGGGAAAACATGTTGCTAAAAGGGTAAACTTTCTTCTGGGTTTTGAACTTTAAGCTTTGTTGTCGCTGTTGCCTCCTGTTGTCAAGAACGAAGATTTGATTTTTGATTTTGAACTGGGAAAGGAAGCAGTACGTGTCGTGGTAACGTCTCTCTTGATTGTTTGCTGCTCTCTGTTTCTTTCTCTGGCTTTCGCTTTCATTCGATGAGTAGAGAATACGTTCAAAATAGAAGCTTTTCTTTGCTCTCGATCACAATGCTTGGAGTCGGACGGTTTTCTGGCATTCATCTGTCCTTTTTTTTTTTTTTTTCAAATCTTTAATCAGTGGTGGGCTCACAAATAAAGTTGGTAGCAGGTAAATTTTCCGTTCATGGGGTTCCTAATTGCATGTCAAGTTGTCAAAAAAAATCTGAATTGGCGCTGACATGTGCATATTTGACGGAAGCCAACGGTGCAGCGTTAAATTTTGCCATATTCCTTCAAACTCGAAAATATTGAGGGTAAAAATTTATGTATTGTAACATGGAGGGTAAAAATCTTCAAATTCAAAAAGTTAAAGGGCAAACGGGTACTTTTGCCGAAAAAAAAACACATAATTGGCAACTTCTTTTATGAGTGGTCATTTTTATTTAATTTAAAAATAATAATTTTTTTTATTCATCCACGTCATCTTTTCTTCCTCTTTCACTTTCTCTCTCCTTTACCTTTCCTTCTCCCTTACCTCCACAAACCCATATTTGGGTTCTCTCTCAAGCTTCATCTTCTTCCTCCTTTCCTTTCCCTGCTCATCCTTCTTCTTTCTTCTTCTTATTCTTTCTCTCTCTCTCTCTCTCCTCCCTTCTTCCTCTCTCAAACCCAGATCTGGGTTTTAGAAAAACTGCTTCCTTCTTCGGCTTTATGTGAAATTATTTGTTAATTTATGTCCAAAATCATTTTGCGTGGATTGTCCAGTGAAGAAGGCGACCATCGGTAGAGGTTTTCTTCTCACACGACGTGTTATCAAGGCCCCTTGCTAAATCTCTAACCAGATCTAGGAGCAATTTTTCTAAACAACTAGATGAAATTCATTTCTTCATTGGACGAACAATCTAAAAAACATTAAGCTTGCAAGCAGCTCATAAAATCACCCACCAATAAATACCTAACACCAGCAAAACACAAACTTCACAAACACATATCCTTAAAAGCTTCCACAAACTGCAACCCACTTCCTAGAGACACCAGAATACCCTTTAAAATCCACAAAGGATCGAACTTTTTTTGGAGCAAAACCTGATAAGATTATCTACTCCAAGACAAACAGCAGAAGGGAAAACATGCTAAACCCCAAAAAAGCCCTAATTTAGAGCAAACCCAGATTAGCGTGGGTAGGAGAAAACCCTAATGAACAAAATGAAAAATCAAATCTTGTTACTTGCTTCAACGAAAGCTCTTAATATGCAACAATGAGGATACAAAAGCGAAAGCCAAGCTGTGAAATTGCAAGAAACGTTGAATTGAAATCAAATCAGAATTATGGCTGAGAATTCAAAATAATGTGTAAGAGATAAATCATAGAGAGGGATAAATACAGAAGAAATCATGACATCCTTACAAAAAAAGCAAGCAAATTTAGGGTCCGTTGCTCTCGTGCTTCGCTTCTCTCACCTCTACCAAAACCAGCTACAGAGAGAGAAAGAGAGACTTCGGCTTTTTCTGCTTCCTTCTCTTCGATTTCTCTCTCTCTTGTTTCCCTGCTCATCTTTCTTTTTTCTTCTTCTTATTCTTTTTCTCTTTCTTCTCCCTTCTTCTTCCTCTCCAAATCAAACATAGATCTGGGTTTTTCTCACATTTGACACCCACTCCCAGCCGTTCGATCTCCCTCTGAACGCCACCAAAAACAACGCCTCCTCATCGATCTACGTGATCACCACCACACCCGATCAATGAGGTCGTTTCATCGTTTCATAACAACCAGAAAAAGGAAAATTATTATGTGATTTTTTATTTTAAAATTTCTTAATTACCATGTCATAGGGAAGGAGCATGGACATGGAAGCGGCCATGAGACAGTAGAGAACAATGACGACGATGATGGAGCTAGAAACTCCTTTGTTCTTTGAGTCCAACTGAATTGATTTTCATTCGATTTTCTCAAGAACAAAAAGAAGGCAACAAACAAAATGAGATTGTGTTTACTAGATTTTAAGCATTGGAGGATGCCATTGGCACTAATCGAGTCGATGTCGAGGTCGGAAAGAGAAGAGGTGAGGCTAGACGACGTACGAATTTCTTTGACTAAACTTGAGGATAGCAAGAACTTCGAGACCTTGGTGCGATCACAACGGTAATGTTGTAGGAGAGAATCCAAATCTGGGTTTGAGAGAGGAAGAAGAAGGGAGAAGAGAGAGAGAAAGAATAAGAAGAAGAAAGAAGAAGGATGAGCAAGGAAAGGAAAGGAAGAAGAAGAAGAAGCTTGAGAGAAAACCCAGATTTGGGTTTGTAGAGGTAAAGGAGAAGGAAAGGTAAAGGAGAGAGAAAGTGAAAGAGGAAGAAAAGATGACGTGGATAAAAAAAATTATTATTTTTAAATTAAATAAAAATGATAACTCATAACAAAAGTTGCCAACTATGTTTTTTTTTTTTTTTCATGTCACTAGTTAAAGAAAAAAGAATTGATTTGCTAGCAAGTTAACATGCTACCTTTCTATTTAATTTATGGAAGGACTATTTTGATATCAAAAATGAAAATTTAAAGATAATTTTAATACTTTTTAAAGTTGAAAGATAATTTTGGTATCAAAGTGGAAAGTTGAGGGATCAAAATGATATTTAAACCATTTAAAAATTATTGTTATCAAACGGGTATTAAACTATTAACTAATAAGTATAATTTATATAAATATAGTTAAAATTTTAATTATATAAATATAAGTAATAAATCAATTTTAAAAGTTAGATAAACAAATCTAAACTACTATACTTAATACTTACACAGATATACTTTTTTCATAGC